TTATTATTTTAAAATTAAATTAATAATAAAATAAAATAAAATATTAAAATTTAAATCATTACCATTAAATAATATATATAAAAGATATCCAACTCCGTACCAAATTACAAAGCCCGAGGCGTGATATCAGTCACATTTCCCTTTAGGGTGCGTTTGGTTCACGGAATGTAAGATTATCAGTAGGAATAAAAGATTACTAGGGAATAGGATTACTGAGAATGTTGTATTTTGTGTTTGATTGGTTTAGCAGGAATGTAAGATTATCGTGTTTTGTTAAAGAAATAAAAGATTATTGGAATATATATTTGACCAAATTGTCCTTATTATATATTTGTTTTTTTTAACAAGTTGGAAAATATTTATATATTTTATTTCAAAATTTTAAATTCATAAAATTTATATAATTTTTTTTTACAAAATTGAAAATATAAAAAGGTTTAATGAAAGGGTAAAATTTTATTTTAACCTCTGAACTTCATATAAAATTTTAATTATAGATTTTTTGTAAATCTAAAATAATTTAAGGATAAATTTGTAATTTAACATTCGTAGAATTTTTATTATTCAATGATAGAAGAAGTATATTTTTGAGAAAAAAAATTAAGGGTATTTTAGTCCAAAACACCGGTAATCCAACAATACTTAACGGAAGGAGAGTAATAATATTCCCGGTAATATACCCAAAAAAATCCACTATTGATAATAAAAACATTACCGAGAACGAGATTCCCGGTCAACCAAATGTGAGAATATAGATTTCATTCCTATGGGAATCACATATTCCCCGAACTAAACAACCCCTTATTATTTAGAGTAAAATATTATCAGTAACTCAATTATCCTTTGTACTGTTTGGGTTAATTAATTATTTTTTAAAATCGTACTTTATAATATATTTTAATTTTATTTTGATTAACTTTAGTTAGTGACATATATAAATATTTCTAGTTCTACCACTTATTGTTGTTAAAAAATAACTTTGATACTAACTTGTTACCATAAAATAATGTCGCATCATCATTGAAAATAAAATAAAAATGCCATGTGAACAGTTTTGTTATTTTTCTTAATACAACAACAACAACAAAACCCTATTCTCATATGTAATGGGATAAGGGGGAGGTAGGGTAGTAGGTTGCCCCCAACGCCAGGGTTGAGAGCAGCTTCCGTGGAAGACCTCCGGCATTCAGCAAATTAAAGATAAAGATAAAATGCAATGCATGTATAAATAAATAAATGCATAGTTAAACAATCTTCCTATGCAGTCCTCATATGCACGTCTGTAATGGGAAGTAATCCCTGTAAATAAATCCATGCATTAAAATATATGCATATAGACAGAAACGTAAGACCCGACTAAATTTAAAAAGAGGGAACCTGAAGAGAAGGATACACAATAGTGAACGGTAGCAAGCTACGAGAAGGAATAAAGTCTAATGGGTTAAAAACCTAAACTAAGGCAACACTACTCCGCTACCCTAGTTCTAATCCTTCATAAATTCTAATGACAGAAACGTATATAAAGTATAAGTCATGGAAATTATTACAAAGGCATTAAAAAGAAGACATAGATGTTACACCCTATGTCTGTGACTCGCACTACTCGACTACCCTGGTCTTAAGTCTCCATACTTTCCTATCAGAGGTCATGTCCTCGGTAATGGCTAAATTCTTCAAAACAGCTCTCAAGTAGTCTTCCCACTTCCGCCTTGGTCTTCCTCTCCTTCTGGCACCGTCGACTGTAATCGACTATACCTTCCTGACCGCATCCGACGGTTGTCGCCTAAGGACATGCCTAAACTACCGTAGTCTTCCCTCCCTTAAATTTTCGGATACAGACACCACTCCTAAGGACATCCTAATAGCAGAGTTTGGTGTCATGTCCCACAGAGTTCTACCACATGCCCATCGTAGCATTCTCATTTCTGCGGCCTCCATCCTCCTTACGTGATCCTTCTTGATTGCCCAACATTCTGATCTATACAACAGCGCTGGTCTTATTGTCATTCTATAAAAATTTCCCTTAAGTTTTAGAGGCACCCTCTTGTCATACAAAACTCCAGTAGCAGCCCTCCACTTTAGCCATCCCGCCTTTATACGATGTGTAACGTTATCATCTACACACCATCTTTATGTATCATAGACCCTAGGTACTTGAAATATTCTTTTGAGGTTATTATTTTTCTTAATAATAGGTGATTAATAAGAAACTAAAATATAATTTTGGATATAATTTTTTTAAATAATTAGGTGACCAAAACGAAACAAAAGTGATAGTTGGGTACTAAACTTATAGTTTAACCTAACCCATTGGTTATCAAATTCATTGAGGTTATAATTTGATAGTTAGACAACAAATCCGGCATATCTTGTTAACAGAGTCAGATTTCTAAATTTTACTGTTATAATAATACTGTCACATAAATGTTTGAAGTCTATTTACTGAAAAAGATCTGTACCATAAATTAGGAAAAATAGAAGAAAAAAACATTAATAGTCTAATACATATATTTATAGTTACCGAAAGAAAATCTAGCAGTGTCGAAGAACATATTAAGATAAATAAGATCTCCTAGGATTGTGGAAAAACAGAACCTTAGACACTGGTTTCGTCGGTCGTTGAGAGACAAACTTGTTTGGCAGAGCAGAAAAGAAAAAAAAAACACGTAACAGTAACACGTATTGTTAGCCAAACATGCAGGCCATGTGCAATTGTGGCATAAACGAGTCAAAAACAAATATATAAACGTCGGGATTCATTTTCCAGACAAAGGTATTCACCTTGAACTGCATGCAATATATATATGTTTTTCAGTGTTACTTTACAAAAACGTGAAGAAAACAACACAGAAGCAAGACAAGCTAGGAAGCAGCCATTGTTGGAGACGGATAGCATGTGAAAGGTAGGGAGATTGAATGTTGTTCTTACATGTGGCCCTTTTATTTTTCATTTGTTGTTACTGGAGTCCCTAACTTCTACAGTTCCATTGATGTGATGACACGTGGCTAAAAGGGAGAGAGAGGTGCCGGTCGACACACTGTGGTGTCCACCTTCCGACACAACAACCTTCGTGGCTATTTCTCTGCGGCGGCCGACTAAGTGAGAGAGAATGCCCACACAGAGCCTATGTACTTAATTAGTCAGATGTGTTTGTCCGGGTAAAACTGGTGGTTTGCAAAAAGAACGTAATCCACACCTTAGGTTTTCTGGGTATGTATGGGGGATCCGTAGATGTTTCATGTTGGCTTTATTTTTCACTTTTTTATGCATTTGCAAAAGGAAAAGGTGAATTGTATTTCATTTTTTTTACCTTTGGGAAAAGATGAATGAAACTCTCTCTATTACAGGAGTTTGCTTAAATTATATATATTGTATAAAAAAACAATCCAGTAAAGCTAAATTTGAATAGACTTATATTATTACATTGTTTTGTATAAAAGTATGAATTTAGAAAAATAACCCAATTGTTATTGCATAACAATTGATCTTCTTCCCTTCGAGCATTCCTCCATTTCATTTACAATTAAAAATAGAATATATCTTCTCCCATATTTACTCCAATGCATGTTCTTTCCCTTGAAGACTTGATAATGAATCTTGTTCGATGTTATTGCAATTCTATAATTCTCGTAACATGTTTATTCAAGTGCTCAAAATATTAAAATTTAATTTTTAATGGTGAATATCTCCATCTTCTAAAATTTAGGCAGCAAAAAATGTCACACAAGAAAAATATATATAATTTTATGTCAAGAGGTTATTAGAATTTTAAGATTACAAAATTAAAAATATATAAAAGCAGATCATTAATATAGAATAAATAAAATAATATAAGATTTTTTTTTAAATACGATCACCCCCACACCACTCAATCCATACACCTCCAAACCCACACTATTGGTACCCAACCCCAAACAATTTAAAAGCAACATAATATGTAACCAACCAACAAAAGTCAAAAATGAAAATAGATAAAAAGAAACCAGGAAAAAATAGAAGAAGAGAAAGAATCTCATATTGTTGAATGATAAAACCAAATTTTCAGTGGTTGAATGATAAAAACAAATACATGAGTGATTAAATATATAATTTCCCATTAAAAATACGTAACATTAATATGTTTTAAAATTAAATATAATATATGAATGTATTATGTATATGATCTTGTACATTATCAACATTTGATGATAACGTATTCTTAAGAGTCGAATCACTTAAATTTATATTCAAAATATTTAATAATGTATCATTATATAATTTATTAATGATATATAAAATCGTAGATTTATCTATACGTAAAAAATAATATCATACATTATGGATCTTAAAAGGCATTAATAAATAATCTTACTCTTATATTAAACTCAAACATCTTAGATATTAGGTTCAATGAACTAAAACAGAAGAAACAAATCTAACATGATTCGAGATTTTATTTTATTTTTGAAGGTATGATTCGAATTTTAAAAAGGAAATTCGTTCCCGAAAGCCGTCAGTCGACTCTGGTCTTACACGTGGCGAATGTCATGAGATGGAGTCGACAAAGGAACGTCTCCCACGCGGCATAACTGGAAGCAATAGCAGTAGCCTGTAAAAATTGTCTATTGCTTAAGTTTAACCAACCAATAAATTAATACCTAGGCCAATTGAAAAGTTTCCTTATAAAACAAAAGGATAAAATTAATACATAGGCCAATTGAAAAGTTTATAAACTAAACCACTTAAATTAAATAATATTTAGATGAAAATTATTAAAAATACAGTAATAAAAACATTTATAAACACTATTGTTGTTATTACTTAGTTTCGGCTTCTAGCAAAAAGTAGTGGGGAGTGGGAACCCACCAGAAAATTAAAAGAGGATATAGTATGAGGTTGGTGGGACCTTCAGAGTGGAGCGGGTCCCACGTTTTTGAATAGTTTGGGAATCAGTTGGTTGGTTTCGTGGGCTATAAAACGGGGTTCATTGCTCCCAACATTAGTCTCTCTCATTCTCTTCCTTGCTCCCTTCGATAAAAGAGAACCCTTTTGTAGTACTGTTGATGTTTCATCATTTCTAGTCTTTTAATTTCCTTCATAATCTGCAAGCTTCTTCAGCAAACGAAACAGAGTACTCTGTTTGAAGTTTGAAACTTTAACCTTAACATTAACATACCTAACGCCACTTGAATTCCACCTCTTCTTTTAACTACCTTAATTTACCCGAATGGGTAAGCTCTGTTTTTTTAAGGATTTTGGGGGGAGTGGGCAAAAGTTGTGGTCTTCAACTATTTACTTAAAAAGCTTTACTAAAAACGATGTTTGTTTGTTTGTTTTTTGGCTCTGTAGTGAGTTTCTTTGAAGAAAGAGCAAAGAATATGGCTGCCACTCAAAATGTGATCACTGATCCGAAATCAGTCCTCAACATGGCAATCACCGTGACCGTATCGGCGCAAAAGCTACCGGCACCTCTCGGATATATCTCCATTTCCAGGAAGAAGTTGCTGCAGAACCTTGAAATCAGTGCTGAGACAAGAGTTAATGCATGGGTTGACTCCATGAGAGCTTCTTCTCCTACTCATATCAAATCAACACCTTCCCTTGCCGATGACCAAGCTTCTTGGAATGTAAGTCATAACCTTACCTGGTTGGTGTCTTTGATATTTTGAACACAAAAAGATTCTCATTTTTTTTAATGGTTGATGAAAATTTTCAGCTACACCATCCATCTGCCCTTGAGATGTTTGAGCAGATAATCGATGCGTCGAAAGGGAAACAAATAGTAATGTTTCTTGACTACGACGGCACTCTTTCACCGATTGTCGAAGATCCGGATCGAGCTTTCATGTCAAAGAAGGTAAGCTATTTTTGTGTATGAAACCGACAGACAGTGCTTTAGTCTTTGTATAGTCAGTTTCCCTGTTAACAAACTGTTCATGTTTTGTAATGAACCAGATGAGAAAGACTGTAAGAAAGCTTGCCAAGTGTTTTCCTACCGCTATAGTGAGTGGCAGATGCAGAGACAAGGTACATTTTCTTGCCTCAACTTTGCATTATCTTTTTTCTTTGTTTATTTATGTTTTTACAATTGATGAGTGTTTCCTTGTCGTGGAAATGATAGGTGTATAAATTTGTCAAATTAGCTGAGCTTTACTATGCTGGAAGTCATGGTATGGACATTAAAGCTCCAGAGATACGTTCCAAATCTAACAGAGTAAGTGAACCACAATTTAGAGTTACAGATATCGAGATTCGAACAAATAACCGAATTAACCCCTTCGTTCTCGTTAGTATTTTTACTAACTCTTCTTTTACACTTCAGGATAATGAACCTCTTCTCTTCCAACCGGCTAGTGAATTCCTTCCCATGATAGATGAGGTTTACAGACAACTGGTTGACACAACAAAATCAACTCCAGGAGCTAAAGTCGAGAACAACAAGTTTTGTGTTTCGGTACACTTCCGCTGCGTCAACGAAAAGGTAATCGACGTAGATGATTATCGGTCACTATTAACATCTTATTATCTGATATCATGTTTGCTTACATAGAATTTTCTTCACTAAAAATGCAGAGATGGAGTGAACTGGCGCAGCAGGTTAGATCAGTTTTGAAGGAATACCCCAAACTCCGGTTAACTCAAGGCAGAAAGGTTCTAGAAATTCGTCCTACTATTAAATGGGACAAAGGGAAAGCCCTTGAATTCTTGTTAGAATCCCTTGGTAAGTTTTACTTCTTTATTACTTGTTTGATTCTCGAACATCTCCACTTCATGTCTGCAAGTGTATATATTATATATATATAATCCATAAAAAGTTTAAACAGCAGCACTTGATTACTTTATTACAGTTAAAATAGTTTAATGCTAGCAAAATCATGACATTATATTCTCTGATCACTAACCATTATTACAAAATGTGTTTTTCCATAGGATACGCTAACTGTAGCGACGTTTTTCCAGTCTATATTGGAGATGATCGAACGGATGAAGATGCATTTAAGGTATCCAATGCTTGAAACAGAAGCCGAGGCATCTCTTTAATTTATAAACACTAGTGGATCTTGCTAAGACTTTGATTTTTATTGGTTTTTAGATATTGAGAGATAGAGGACAAGGTTTTGGCATTCTTGTCTCCAAGTTTCCTAAGGAAACAAGTGCATCATATTCATTACAAGAACCCGGCGAGGTAACTGCCGAACCAGATATTACGTTTATCACGATTATAGACATAAATATTAGGTCAGAAAACAACAATGTAACTTCATAATATATATATATTTGCAGGTGATGGATTTTTTACGGCGCTTGGTTGAATGGAAACAGTTAGCTTTACAAGCACAATCCAGAATGTAAAAGACAAGAAGATATGGGGACAAAATATACTTGTCCAATAGCTTAAGAAGGAACTGTAAAAGGGCGGGGATTAGATTCTGTAGTAAAATTCTTGTTCAAGATAATTAAGGAAATAAAGAACAAGAAGGGAGAAACATATGATTATACGAATTCTGTCTCGATTTTTGGCTTGAAAGCCTTGTACATCTTGTAACTACCTAATTACAAGGGTAAAAGACTTGCAACTTTGCCACCTTGTCTAGCTCTAAAAATACTTATTTCAATCGGCATTTGCAATTCTTAAAAGAAAAAGACTATTTGTTATACCTCCACAAATGTTATTCTTTATTAATTTGTTAGAAAGCACATTTGGAAAGATTTATCGGAGAGCATAAGTTCTTGACATAATTCTCTATCAATATGCCATCAAGCATCTTCGGAAAGATTTATGAGAGAACATAAATCCTTAATAAGACTCTTAAAAAGATACTTCATGAATCCGAGAGATTTATCTTGATTAAATCTGCTAACCGACATTTACATTTATACACTTTGTCCCTCTCGACCTAGACATAACAATTATGATCCTAGATTTGACACAAGCATACAAAGAAAGTCCTTCCATGGTCAATATATAAACTCCATGAAAAGACGAGAGGAGGTGGTTTTTTCTAAATTGAAATTAGACCTTCCTTCTATCTTTCTTAAAAATCACTTTTACACTATCGGCTAACGATGAATCTGTCACTAATTGCAACTCTCCACTAAATTAAAAGAGGTGAACCGCTGTCAATTGACATAACTGTCTCTGTTCCATCAACACTATTCATTTTGACTGTAAGTGTAACCACGATGAATCCGAAACTTTCTCGTGGTAGGAAACATTATAGCCAGATTCAGACCATTTGATTAAGGAGTTCCCTTGAAGTTTTTGCCATGATTTTCACGTGATACAAATAATGTTTCCTCAATTATTTAACTAGTTATGTAAAGTTATCAATGCACCTACTACACTTTCAAAATGCATGCCATACCGTTAAGCTTGTGTTTGTAACTAAAGTTCAGCTAATCTGCAGATTTAAAAACATATACATGTATATATATTTTAAGAACTTTAACCATTTTCACTTCATTGCTAGAGAGACAACTAAAGCCAAGACCAGGTTGCATTATTGGAGGTTGACGAAGATATTGTTTCTTCAAAGTTCTTTATGAAGGTACCAAATTGATGGAACAGCCTCCAATTTTATTATTATTGTATCTATGTTATATATAATTCTTTTAGCCTCCTTTGAACTCAAAATGCATGGGGTTTCATATACAATCCACCTGGGAAAGAAGGGGTCTCTCATAATTTTCTTATGAACAATCTCTGGCATCAGCTTTTTTTCAAGAGGAGGAAGGTAGGGAGAATATTCCAGGGTTTTTGATATTTTTGGAGTGAAAAATATAATAGTTTCGGATATGGTCTCCGGAAAACTCTTGTGCCACTTTTTCGATTGCATTACAATGATCCAGGTTACAAACATGTCAAAATGCATTGTGAAGGTCAGGTAAATTTAGGGTTGAGTCTTTGTAAAAATATTTTAAAAATTGTAGTTTTAGAATATAAAAATATTTGCTAATAATATTTTAAAAGTTTTTTTTGAGAGGTTACTATTTATAAAAATTGTAGTTTTCAATGTATAAAATTTATTAAGATATGTAATTAATTTCTTTGGAAGATGATGGAATTTCAGCTAGAGGAACTTGTCCGAGAAATGGGAATCATCTTCTGACAGCATATATATAGCTTATAATTTAGCTAGGTTTTATATTCCTCCATTATTGATCTTACATTGTAGTACTACTATTTTGCATTTGACAATTGTTTTGGAAAGTTGAAGTCCTACATAATTGCCATTTCTGTTTATGCTATAATTATTATTCATTCATCAAAATGAATGTCTCTAACCTGCAAGCAACCCACTACAGATTCACCATTTTAATCTAAAAAATGAGTTTTAAATACTTATGTGTATTTAATATAAAGTATAAAAATATATTGTATATAGGAAAAAATCAACTTTTTTTTAGATTAAGGATTGATCTAACAAATATTGAAGGTAAGATGATAGCAATCACCAATGATTGGGTCAGGGAAGTTTGGGCAGTTTTTGGTTCCCACTTTTTTTCTTCTAAAATGTGCCTGCTTCTTACCAAAACACTATTCTTCTTTTATTTAAATCAAACAAGTAATAATTGAGATATATGCATGTGGGATTCTGCATGGTTCTCTTTGGTTCCTTTCCTTTGCACCATGGGATTTGAAGGGAGTCATAAATGTGTGGAACAATGAACCATATGAAGAAATAAATAGCTTTGGTCAATGCTAAAAAGATATGTATTCGCGTGCAACTTAATTTGTTAGATCAATAATTGCTGCAAATACAGGAAATAAATTATTGGGTTGCAGTTAGACTCGTGTCCAAAGGTGAATATCATATATGAGTATATATTAAGTTCTCGATTTAATCATAGCTCAAAATTCAGATCGAAATACGCACAAACAATGTAGATTACTAGTTTATGAAAATATATACTTGGTCCCTGGGTGGGGGGAGCATAACCATTGCTTACAAACTGAAGAACATGGGTGACCCCATTTAGTACATAGATTTGTTGGATCCACACAGAGTAAAGGAATCTGCTACTTGATAATCTGTTGTTATTTGTCGGGTGGTGGGGGGGGGGGCTCCCTTTGTTTTGAAAGGAGAAATAATAATCTTTAGGGTTAGGTTTTTGAAAGGGAAACCCACTACTAAGGTTGGGAATCATTTGTGCTGATTGAGTTGTTGGAATCCACTTAAAGGCTTGTTTGATATGGAGAAATTAAAGAAAACATTTATTTGCTGAATAAGGACATGAACATGGCTCCTACGCATTTTTGGGGACAAACCCTGTTCTTTATGTACGTGGAAAGATGGAGTCCAACTCCTATGATTGGTACCTTAACTGAACTAATTAACTAAATCATGGAGGTAAAGCCTCAATTATTGACAATGCCAGGCACAAGGAAACATCTCTCCTCTTCTTTTTCTTTAGTGCTGCAAATACAAATCACTTCTACACCCCATAAACAGGTAAATTCTACTATTCAAACCTACGATATATATGAGTTGAACGATGAATGCCATTGACTATCATGACCAAACAATAGTGTTCAAATACATTTAATGAACAACGTATGAAATAGTAGTTTAGGTTAGTTTTATGAGGGCGAAATCAACGAAATAATGCTCTTGAAGTTTTTATTTCACGAGATAATGCAGTGTTTAGATTAATTGCTCGAATGGGGTAAATTCTATAGTGATGGCCGTAGGTCGCCATGCACTCCAGGCATCATAGGTCGCCATGCAAGCCCGGCGTCCAACGTTCTCGTGATTCTGCTGCTCTGCCCGGCTGATGCTCTGCTTTGGTGCTATGCATGGGCCATGCACGGGGCATGGGATAGGTCGCCAAGAGCTTTGTTCACGTGGTCTGCTCTCGGCAAACCTCTGCTTGTATGCAGCGTGAATTCAACTGCATTATTGCAGCACTTATTGCTGCATTATTGTAGTCCTTCAGCTCACGTGAATGACCATGCAAAGGTGAATAATTGAAGCAAACGGGGGTGGTTGTATTATATATTGGATGGGGGTTAATGAGTGAAACATAAAAGAAAGAAAGGGAGAAGAGAGCAAGGGAAAAGATGAAGAAGAAGAAAGGGAGAGCACAACATCGAGGTAAGCTTTTTAATTATTTAAATTAGTTTTTTATTTTAAATTATTAGATTGTTAGTTTATGGTTTAAGGGTTTACAACATTTTAGTTAATTAGTTAGTTAGTTTAAGGTAAAAAAAATTGTAATTAATTAGTTTGCTTGATGGTTATATTTTGGTTGTTGAATTTATATATTATATAAAAAAATTAGTTAATTAGTTTAAGTTATATAAAAGAATAATTATTTAAATTAGTTTATTGTTATAAATTATTAGTTAATTAGTTTATTATTATAAATTAGGTAAAACAAAAAATTAGTTAATTAGTTTGGTAGTTTAAGTTATATTATTGTTAGTTTAAGTTATATCATATAGAAATAAAAAATTATTTAATTAGTATGTTTGATAGTTACATATTAATAAAAATAATCAGTTAGTTTGTTAGTCGTTAGTTATATAAAAAAATATGTAATTAGTTGGTGTTAGTTAAATAGTTAAGTTATATTTGTTTGTTGAATTTATATTATATAAAAAAATTAGTTAATTAGTTTTTTAGTAATAAATTATAATTAAAAATCATTTATTAGTTTAAGTTATATTAAAAAATAGTTTATTAGTTAACGTTATATTAAAGAATAGTTAAAGTTATATTAAAGAATAGTTTATTAGTTGTTTAAGGGAAAATTTACGTTTAACTTATATTTTAAAAAGTTTAGTTTGTTAGTTTATTAGTTTAATATATTATAAGTTATTATATTAATTTTTTTGTTGTGTTGTGAAATAGTTAGTTAGTTAGATTATATTAGTTATATTAAATGATTTTTTAAATACTGTTGTTTACTTCTTTTACAGATTCATTCCAATGGCTGACCAAATTCCACTGCTGAGACTTGACAATAAACATATTTCAAGTCATTTGGGAATAATGGTGAATAAAATATTTGTTTAATGAATTATAATTAATAAATATTTGAATATTATTTTATGATGATTGTGATAAATTTTTTGCATTATTTAATTGTAGGAGGACGAGCAGCGAGTCCTTCGTCTTCGGCTACATAAAGTGCCCAAGCCACACAGATTGATAGAAGAAAACTTGCAGGAGGCTGGATTTTTGTATGTAACATTTGTGCGAGATTACAAGTTGGTCCCAAGTTTGATAAGTGCCTTGATTGAGCGTTGGAGACCAGAAACGCACACGTTTCATTTGCCGTGTGGCGAATGTACGATAACTCTGGAGGATGTGGCATTGCAACTCGGGGTCCAAACAAATGGGATGCCAGTGGTAATGTCACATGAGTTTAATAATGTTGCACAACTTTGTAGCTTGTTTCTTGGGAAAACGCCCGTACCACCATAGTATAAAGGGTGGCGTGTGAGGTTGTCATGGTTGAAGAATGAATTTCAACTTCAACCAAATAGTACGGAGCAC